TCCAACAATGCTTCTTATTTCTTTGTAGTCCAGGAAACTCTCCAAGGAAATGTAGTGCACGTTGTTGTCATGTCACATCAGTCACCTTCAGCCTGGGACAGTCCTCAACTTTCCCCTCTCTCATATGCTTGACAGTTTTAAGAGTACAGGCCTTTTGTTATGAAAGATGTTCTCAGTCTGGGCCAGTTTTGTATTTCCTCATGACAGATCTCAGCTCTTGCATTCCTGGCAGTGTCATCATGTACTTTCCTTGCCCCAATTCTCAAATCATCCACTTCAAGGATTCCTGCTTGATTACAGTGGCAGATGGTATGTAGAAAGCAAGATTGGAGAGTTCAGTATAATCATTGCTACTAGGGTGTTATTGCTTCTAGGACCTCTCAATGGACAGAGCTGGGAAATATATATGTACGCATCCATCCATCCATCCATACACACCTACACACATGCCTATGCATGTATATCTATAACCATTTCTCTCCCCGTCTGTGTGCCAATATGTTTTTGAACAACCCATGAGTTCACACTGACAGTTCCAATTCTAACCCAACCCCTCAGGGTTCTTCCTAGCCTTCTCCCTTTCCATATTGCTAAGTTCCTTATCAGATGCTTAACTACCTGGCTCCCATTAATCTAATCTAACTGTTGTCTTCTTTTAAATTAAGAATTTAACTTATTTATTTGTAATACAGATGTTTGGTCTTGCTTCTGTTATTTTTAAAACTAGTATACTTGCTATATGTATAGCCTTAAAAAACATTTCAGTGTAGTTATTTTCTTTTTGTGTTTTTAATTCGGATAATTTGGGTAGTTAGTTTTTTTCTGTTGGTTATGTATTACTGCTACTTCATCAAATCTGCTTAATCTACTTCTTTATAGATACCTGTTAATTTCTATGAGCAATAGTAAAATCAGTGTATTTATTCATGGCCTCTGGCCTAATTTTAGTTGACTGCACTCTTTTCCTTAATGTCCACCTTTGTACTTCATACTTAATGACAGATTGGCTGGCCACAGAATTCTTGGCTCGCAGGACTTTGGAAGGATTGCTACTCTGCCCTCCAGTGTGCACCTCAATGTGGAGTGGTGGAAGCCGGCCTGATTACTTTTTTGCCTTATAAGTGACTTGATTTGGTGGGGAAGTATGGGAGGCTGAGTGTAGAAAGGGTTCTTTAGGCTGTGTCTTGATACGGACCAGTCTGTACCAGCTTTTTCAGGATATGGTCTCCTTTTCAATATGTAGATTCAAATGTTCTTTTCTGTAATATTCTCGTGAATTACATTTTTATATACTTGTCCTATTGCATTTGTAACACTATGATTTGTCTTTTAGGGATTCTAGTTATGAACATATAGATCTCCTTTGCTTATCTTTGTCATCATTTTCCCTTTGGTCTCTCTTTTAACTTAATTGCATTTTTATTTTACTTGATTTTATAATTTGCCTCTCTGTTCCTTACAGTATTTTCAACAATGTCTGTGTTCTTCTTGTATACCTTCAGATTTCACCTTGTTTCTGTAACATTATTAATTTTCTACTTCTTTCCTAAGTTCTGCCAATTACTGTTCTATCTCTTGTCTGTTGTCTCGTAAACCTCTTCTGTGTGCTCATATCTGTACTTTATGTTCTTTCTTTAAAGAGGCAGTTGCAGCATTTAAAAAATATTTGGTTGTGGTTTTCATCTGCTTTGTAGCATTCTTTTTGTTTGTTTGTTTTATATCTGTTTCAGTTATTTGGTAATTATTTAAAGATGAGGTTTCTATTACTTCATCTGCCATTTGTTTTTTTCTTGTATTTTGTTTTACTCTCTTGTATTAAACTTCTGCCAAATTTATTTTGATTACTCTGCTTTAAATAAAGTGAGTTTTTCCTGCACCAGCAATTTGTCTGAAGTTTGTATTCTAGGGGAACCAGGACTGTGGTTCTTATGACCCAGACAGTGTTATGTGTGAGTTTGTTTAACCTTTAACTTATTTCTAGCCAGTGAAGATAGGCAGCTGTGGCATCTTTAAGTAAAATCTTTCATCTGTTTCTTAAATATAAAATTTTGGATTGCTGCAGGGAGTAGTCTTATTCCCTTTGGCTTTCCTGTGTAAACTCCTTACCTGTCTCCACTGCTTTGTGGGACCAAATGTAACCCAGGGAAGGTTCCACTGGAGCCCTGCAAAGTACTCAGGTGGAATACGCCCTCATCTGTAAGCATCTTTTGTAGGCTTCCTCTGTAAACTGTGTACATGGGCAAGCTCCGCCTCCTCCTGTACCCACCTGGCTGTTGTCTATTGCTACTGGCTGCCTTTCACCTGTTTTGTAATTTTCAGTCTCAACTCTTTCTTAATTTCATTGACTGTCATGTTTCCATTCTAATGCTTTTGTTCTTTTTGGTGCTTTGAGATGATTCTCAGAAGAAAAAGGAAGCAACACTGAGGTTAGGCTGCCGTGTTCAAACACGATGTTCCTGCTGTCCCATTTCTTTCTCTATATTCTGTCTCAATTTTCTTATCTTCTATTTCTTATGCAGCCAGTCACTGTCCTGAAATTTCTCATTTGAAGGTCACACTTTGTGCAAGCCAAATCTTTAACCTCTGCAACATTTGATTAAGTACTGCGGTCATCTCCTTCCTGTGACACTTCCTTGTTTTTTCCACTCCGTGGAATTGCACGAAGTGGGTTCTTTTAGTCTCTCCCTAGTTCTTCTTCTTGGTTGTTGTTGTCGATTTGTTTTCCTCTCTCCTTAATTTTTGGTTTCTCTTCACTCCACCTCTTTCAGAGTTTTTTTTTTAATATTAGAAGTAAAACAACAAAATTTTAATGGAATATATCACTAGAGGATATCTTCATAACATTGGGGATGGGAAAAGATTCTTAACAAGATACAAAAATCACTAGCCATAAAGAGTATGCTTGAATAATTCGAATACATTACAATTCAGAAATTCTTTCCATCGGAAAGAAGATACTGTGAAGGGTGTGAACAAGTTAGGCATAGAATTCATGAAGATTTTTGTAAGTCTGAAGGGCTCTAATATAGCATTTGTAAAGAACTATCATTGTTATTTGTATATCACAATTTATTTATTTATTTCTTCTATTATTGAATGGCCTTTAGATTGTTTCATGGTTTGACTGTTACAGAGAGTGCTGCTGGGAACACACACACACACACACACACACACACACACACACCCCCGCCCCCGCCCCTGCATTTAGAAAGGTCCTGCAGGAAAGAATTCTAGGAACGGAATTCCTAGGTGGTGGGGTATTCATGTTTTCAACTTTAGTAGGTAATGCTAAACTGTTTTCCAAAGAAAGTGAGTAAATTGTAGCTACATGTTTCAACTTGGATACATTTCACAAACAATATTCAGCAAAAGAAGCAAGACCAAAAACAGTATTATATAACATGATTCCATTTATATTAAGTTCATTAACAGGCAGAAATTAAACTGTATTGTTTAGGGATGCATATATAGCTGGTAAATTGAAAAGAGCAAGGAGGTGGCTGCCCAAGAGCCTCAGCCGTGAGGACCCCGGGAGAGGCAAGGGGCGAGGCAAGCTTGTGATGGGGCAGCGACGGGAGGACGCCCCTCCAGCTGCTGGTGATGTTCTGGTTCTTGGTTTGTTTTGGTTACACTGGAGTCCACTTTGTAATAGTTTGTTCAAATGCACATTTATATTTTATGCATTTCCTATATATCTTACTCCATAATGCATAGGGCTTTAAAAATAAAACCTGAGAATTAATTTGAAGGGATACAATTTAAGATACACTTAGGCAATTTTATTTTTCCTCTTTTAGTTCAGATACAAGAGAGAGAAGATTAAAAGACACAAAATCACTTGGAAAGCTCTTCATTTAACCTCAGCTCATATCTGTGTCTTCTTATCAGTTTTGTCACCATGGTGCTCAGATACAGCAGTGAAAATGTAATTTTAGCAAAAATACAGGTTTTCAGAGTAATTCTCATTTCTTCTTTTCTGTGTTCTCAGCTGTAGTTTAAAAATTCTTTTTGCTTTGTCACATAATACTGCCATGGAAGAAATTCCAAAGTACTTTCCTCGGTTGCATTTCCAGAGTGCTGTCACCATTAAGGACAGCGATGTGTCAATATAACAAGAATGTATACCTTGGTTAGACTATTTTTTTATCACTACCAGAAAAAATGCTTTGGAGATTTTCCCCTGGATTCTGACATATTTATTGGGAAAATAAATATGAAACTACTTAACAGCTTTGCATTTCTCTAGACTCTGGTGCAATAAGGGTAATGTAATAGTAATGTCGCTGGAAGAAATGAAAATATACAATTTAAATAACATTAAAATTCTGAGCATAGTCTTATATCCATAATAAATCTGCAGATATATGTGTGTGTGTATATATACATATATGTGGTTATTGTTTTTTAACTCCAGTAATGGATCTAAATGCATTCCATTGGGCATTCTTAATGACATCTCTTGGCATCCTGTGTCTCATACAAAACCCCCCAGAAGGAACAGTGGGGCCACTTACAAGTGAACGTGAATGTTGGGGTCATCAGTGACATTTCAGTCTCTTCACAGTCCCTTCCAGTTGTGCTTTCGACGCTGGTCAGGCTGCTGAAGAAACCCAGGGTAAATCTATAGTTTTTATGGAGACGACCAATTCCTTCATAAGTGCAGCTTCCTCGGTTCTTTTGTCCAAAACGTGGCCCATTTCCAGTGCTGTCGGTCTGCATTTCTAAAGCCATTTCACGTTCCTGTAATTCAGGTGCAGCAGCTCGCTAATTTCGCAATAGTAAGGTGATTTTTTTCTCTCTAGTTCCTGTAATGTTGATGAAGGAATGAACGGAAAGTATAATTCCACCATTGCTAACTAGTTTTTTCATATGTGTGTGCATTTGGGTTAGAGACAGATGAGAGTAACTATTTTTAGGCTTATTGGAATTCCTCATTATTGTTTTTTATCTTTTACTTTTAACTATATAATTCTGGTGTGTGTATGTGTGTTTTAATGCAGGTACAGCCTGACTATTTGGACTGGAAAAAATGATAACTATTCCATTGAAGATTTACTTTGTATTAGAGACCATTTTGACAAAAAACAAGTTTTCTATGATATCTTGGAACCACAAAATAATGAATTTAAACAAGCCATTGGAATCAGTGTCTAAGAAGAAGTTTCTTCTAAATGATTCATGTTTTGGTTTCATAATCCTTCTCTGCTTTGGTCTGAATTATTTACCAATAAATTATGATGATTGAGTTATGCTTCAATTTATCCAATCAAAAACACTCATTGAGTACTTACTAATGATTTAGGTATATGTCCTTTTAATACTATACTTACCTAAAAGACTGGGAAGAAGAGATTTCAGTGGGCTTAGTCTAATAATAATTTAGGCAAATTACATTTAAAAATCCTTTATAAAAAGTAATTTTGATGTACTGAAGATAACTGAAAGAGTCCATGTGTTGTAAGATAGGTATGAGTCACATTTTGTTGGCATTTATATTCCAGAGATTCCCAGTCTGTGGCACCCTCTTCCCATTTGCCTGGAGAACCAGTATTCCAAAGACTACAGAAGAGTAAGGAGGCTTCTAAAATGTTTTTAACTATCACAGGGCTGAACAGCTTTTTCATAACAAAATCAAATCCACTTACTGAAAACAATATGAATTAAATGATATGGATCTCGAATTTCCAAATCGTTGGGTGCATGCTGAATACTATGTATGTCTTTGTTTTCTTTGTTTCAATCATTTTATCTTCTCGATAGGGAGAAGCATAGTGAGCAAAATACTACTGAAGAGAATTTTAACCATGGTAATATATCACAGGGTTTTCAGGTTTCTCACCACCTGAGTTCAGGCCCTTACTCTGCTTCTAGAATTTCAAGAACTGGCTCTTCATGACCTTCACACTCAGAGGTACCCTGAGCATTTCTGCTGAAGAAAACATTTTAAAACACCTCTTTGTTTATGCCAAACCCCAAAACTCCAGAGGCTTCTCCAGTTCAGCGTTACTGACTTTGCTCTTTCAAGGCCCTTCCTCATGTACTCTCACTGTAAGTCAGCACAGTGTCCTCCAACGCAGTCCTTCGTTCCAGAAATGCCCACATCACTGGCCTCTAGATCTTCCTTTAACAGTTAACTTAAACGATTTAATATTGTTCACTAATCGTGTCATACATGTTGTCTCTTCAATTAGATTAGAAAGTCCTGCATGGTAAGGGAGCACTCTTACCTGTCCTTCACAGTGCCTGGCACAGTCCTGAGCAAGGCATTTGGAAAAACCTGGCTTCTTTGATTTGCTGAAAAGTAATGTACCAAGAACGTAATTTCACTTTTTGTTTATCGACCATTTCCTCCCAGAGAATAGAGTAGTTCTGTTTAGAGAACAGAGCTTGGGTTTTGAATTCAGACAGACTTCCCTTACAGTCGCCCTCTATCCCTTACTAGCCATAGATGTGGGAAAATATTTAACCTTATTGAGTCTCGGTTTCTTTATTGATAAAGTGGGGGGAGTGGGGATGCGAATTCTCCTACAGTTGTTGTGAAGTTTAAGGGAGACTCATGTGATGGAGGTGTCTAGATCAATGCTTGTCACACAGCAGGGCTCATATCCATTGCAGGTAGACAGTCGCAGTAAGAGATATAACATGAAACATCGTATATATAAACACAACGGTCATATTTCCACTTTAAATTTTAGCTCCAACATTCAGTACTATTTGTTAAATAACATCTAAAACTTTACTTTCTGTCATTGTTTGCCAGAAGCAAAGGGAACACTTTCATAATTATAAAATTTAACAACTGCAACAGAGAATTGCTCTTGAAATTATAGTAAAGATATTTAATTTATAAATTTTATTAAATGACCATGCTTTTATAAAGGGAGTTACATTTATAAATGAACTGCATTTTGATGAATATTGAAATAAAATTCTTTTGTCCAGAAGATTATTTTTACTACTTGATTATCTTATCCATGGTGATACTTTAAAAAGTATTAGTCTTAAGGTAAAATTCTCTTATACTGGGAAATATATCAACTGATTGTCACTTAGATTAAGATTTAAAAGTATGCTTTAAAATGTTCTCAGGAACAAAAATATGTAAAAGAATTAGAAAAGTACTCAGTTGAAAAGGAAAATTTTAATGACTATTCATATGGAAAAATATGATCCTGGCTTCACACCATACACAAATATTAATTCCAGTTGGATCCTGGGCTTAAATGTGAAAACTAAAACTGTAAAGCATTTAGAAGAGAATAAGGGGAAATATTTTAATTACTTTGGAGTAGGCAATGATTTTTCATACACAACAGTAACCATAAAAGAAAAAAATGACTAATGGGCTTTATCTAAAATCTAGCATTGCTCATCAAAAGACATCATTAACACATTCTGACAAAGGGCTCATACTCCAAATTTGTGAAGAACTCCTATAAACTAATTCTTAAAAAGAAGCTGCAACATATGTATATTATACTATTCATGTAAAATTTTATGTCTTTATCAGCATTTGTATATAGGAAATATTTGAGAAGAAGTTTACGGACACAAAGTAAGTAAAAGGTTAAGTACCACCCATTTTCTCCCTTCAAGTTCTTGGCTCTCATGTATTGATGTTGGAATCCCATAACATTTGGGCCTTATTTCCCAAGCCTGGCAGAGCAGTCCTATCCCTAGAAGAAACTTTGGTTTGAGATCCAATTGTTTTTAAAAAGTCAGAGCTTTTAAAAGTACAGTATTTTATGGTTCTGTAAGAGTGATATAATTGCTAATAACCAGATATATATACTCATCTATCAGTGGGAAATTGTTAAAAGTTATTTGGAACAGTCTGTTTGCTTGTTTGTTGGAGCTAGGGTCTTCGATTTTTTTCCTCATAATGAAAAAAATTAAGTACCTCGTGAATATACAGAAAAACAATGCTCTTTCACCTTGAAAATGTGAGGCATTCAAGATGGGAGCCTACCTTGTTGGAGCACACCATGTGTTTACAATCTTACATTCATGAATCAGTGCAAGGAAAATAGTTGAGTGTTAAGAACTTCTTTCTCTAGAAAATGTCAGTATTGTGTAATGAATAAATGAAACCAAGAAGAGCTGATAACCAGGCCTTGGAAGAAGCAGGGCAGGATCCAGGAGCTCTTGCAACCTCAGCGGCAGGAAGGAGCTTGGGCCTTCGCTCCAGTGTTCCACATCACTCTTTTCACTGCGACTGCTTGTCTCTCTTCTTTGTGTCCACCCTCCTTTGGTCCAGAGACTATAATTTGTTCGGTCACTTGAGGGAGACGCATGACTTCAGGACTCAGTGGGAACTCTGTGGGGAAGGAGGGGGGCAGGCCTCTATCTAACTGACGTTTTTGTGTGACAGCTGTGCCAATAATTGGAAATGATTCCTACCTCAAGGATCTACAGTCTAGTAGAGAAAGAGAGACCTGTGAACAATAAGTTGGGTATTTGCTCTAACTCCTATGACGGAGCTGCACACCAGGCTTTGGTGTGGAGACGCCAGTCTGTTCTTGATAGAAATACCTAAGTTGTGTCTTGAATGATGAGTATTCACCAGGTAGACTTAAGGAGGGAAGGGTCTTTCAGGCAGAGACACAGGAGCAAAGGAACTCTAAGTGGGGAAAAAACCCTGATCTGACCTGTTTTAAAACCAAAACAAAACTGTGGCCCTGGACAGGTAGCTCAGTTGTTTGGAGCATCACATTAATAGATCAAGATTGCGGGTTCAATCCCTGGTCAGGGCACATACAAGAATCAAGCAATGAATGCATAAATAAGTGGAACGACAAATCAATGTTTTTCTCTCTCCCCCTTCCTCTCTGTCTGTATCGATAAATAAAAAATTAAAAAAAAAAACTTTTGGAGGCACCATGCTGAGGCAGGACATTTAGACAGAGGCCAGATTCATTTTCCATGTTAAAGAGTACGCTCCTTCTCTTAGGCCGTGGGAGTCCTCACACCGTTTTAGGTGGGAAAGCATGAGAAAGGTGGTTACGATGGCAAGAGAAGGCACCTTGGAATTATCGGAGTGCAAGGAGATGAAGCCCTGAGTTAAAGGTGGTTGAAAAAGTGGATGGAAGGCTGCAGAGTTAGGGGAAAAGTTAAGAAGAAAGCACTCATTAAGAGTTTTTTTAACTACTTGAATGGAGAAGATGGGGGAGAGGGAAGAACCCAGCACACGTATTTCTGGCTGGAGTAACAGGTCAGGTGGTGCCACTGACCCAAATGGTATAGGCCGGAAGCCAGGTGTAGCTACATTTCTCAGTGATTAGTTGATTACTGATTTATACCAACTTGGAAAGAAAAGTGAAAACCCCATCTGCCTGCCCCTGAACTCACTCACCTCCCATTCCAACTTTAGAAAGGGTGCTCCTTTTGTATTTTAAGTTTCTTAAAGGACCCTCTCATGTAATTGCTATTAATGCTTTACTACATACTTTAAAATAATAATTTAAAATAATTAAATTACCCCCACAGTCCCACTGTCAGAGTAAACAGCCAGGGCTTGAAAGGTGCTCACCCAGCCTCCTGTCTGATGAGAAGGTTCTTTCGTTTCTATACTCTGTGCCCTGGAGGGACCAGCCTGGCTAAACCTGATGGCTGTGCTGTTCTGGGTGTGGTTGGTGCTGTCCATCCTCATCAAGACTGGTCATTGCCCCTTTTATATCCTTTCCTTGGTGTGAAAGAATGTAGCAAGAGTTCAAAAATGTAACTGAAACATTGGCTGTGAGAGTCTGTTGCTACTCTGTGAATTAAGAGCTAAAAACAAAACAAAAACAAACCTCTGGACCTGCGTACGTATCTGATTCCCATTGCAAACATCTGTGACTGACCACGGGGAGGCCAGTGAAATATATTTTCTACTTAACACAACCAACCGGCTCAAACAACCTCAGCCCCTAGTGTCCTTAGGATTAATATATGACTACAAACTCTCCTTCCAATAAAATGTTCATCCTATTAAATTGACTTTTTTCATGTTGGCATGAGAATAGCAACAAGTTATTCTTAGTTTTTCTATTTACTCAAAGTAACATATGTGGCACAATTTCTCTTGCGAGTATGTTGAAATATTTATCATTAGTATTTGCGATAAATAAAAACCAGTGATAAAACGGAAATTTTAAATCTTTATTGATACCATTTTATGAACGAATCTATTAACATATTCTTCCAACCTGTATCCTTACAACTTAAAGCCAAGCACTTTTCTCATTATTAGAACTTGCAAAAAGGGTTTAATCCTATAAACATCAGGTGCAATTCTAAGTTCTGAATCAAAAGATACTTCTAGCATAGTTAATATTCATGTTCTTCAAAACATTAAATGGAACACCTCCAGTTTTTTTTCAAATAAAAGCCACAAGAAACTAAATAATTACTATCTACATTACAACTTGCTTATACCCAATCACTAAGAAAAGCATCACCTCAATTGCTGAGACCTCCACTTACTGACAGAGGCAAAGAAGCCAAGTTGTATAGGACATCACACACACTCAGGTTTTGTACAGTTTGGTTTATTCTTCATTGTAAACTGCTAGATTGAAATAAGGATTCTTTGCATAAACACCATATTCTGAAATTGTATAACTAAGTCATTTTATAATACTTTATAATAGTAGCATGGTATTCTTTTATTTTGTTAAAATTTATTCAAAGGTCCTAAAAGACTACATGATTGGATTGTCACACTAAGGAAATTATCCTTATATATCCACATTATAGGAATGTCTAATAATTATGTATCAGAAATAAAAAAATGTTGCTTAATATTGGCTGAATATTTAGTACATTTTATAATTAAGTTTCTACTGGCTTTCTTAGTTTTAGCTAACCTAAGCTAATTTAATAATCAGTTTTTCTTTTCTAAAATGAAGCAGGCATTTAGTTTCTAGTTGTGAGTGAATCTCAAACTTTTGGTTGTTTTTAGAAAAACAAGAATGATGTAAGTAAAGAAGAATGCTTTTTAACTTCAAATGTCTTTCTACTGGGGACCTGTGGATAGGCTTCAAAAAGAGTAACAGGAACTAAAGGATATGGAGAAAGAAGAACTCTGTAAGATAACATTTTCATTTAAATGTTTAAAAAAACAAAACAGCGAAAACAGCACACACTGGGCACAGAGCATCACTAGCATGTATAACTCTAACCTGCCGCTGAACATGAATTAAGCTGACAAAAGGAATATTAGCTACTCCAGTCTACTATAACGGTTGACAATTACAATTTTAATTATATTTTCATCTACCTGCAGTCAACATTTTAAAAGAATTAGTTCATTCTTTCTTTGTAGCTTAAACTTATAGATCATAGAACACTTTATAGCCATTAGTGGATTTTTAAAATGCTTTTGGCACGATGGAAAACTACAGTCTTATTCACTGACTTGAAATGTTAAAAACAATTGACTTGAAGATATTGTTTCCTACTAAAATATTTGGCAAATCTGAAAAACAATTAGTTCTCTCCAACACATGTGACCTTCTTTCTTTGTTAATTTTTATTTAAATTAAAAACTTGGACTTGGAGGTTTTGAGAAAAACAGCTTTAATTTTGAGAGAATCTCCTTACCAGAAGCTACTAGTGTACAGTGTCCACTATGAATTCCAGTACATGTTGATCCCCTAACCATTATCGGTTAGCCAATTACAAGATTTAAAAAAATGAACATTTGAGATGCCTTTTCTAGTTCTGTTTCTTTGATGTCGATATTTGAACAAAATGTGTTTTCTAGCTATATCTTAAAAATGTACTAACTGCTTAATTTGTTCTGTTTGCAATGACTGTCTCCTTAACAACATTCTTTTACTTTTAGGGAAAACAGGAGCCGTTGGCATGAGCACTTTTTGACCACAAGAAAGAAGGCTGGAAATCTTGTTAACATTGATATCTGAGATGGGAGGGTGAGGATTCACATTTAAGGGTGGCAGAAATCCCGGTCTGGTCTGGGCAGTATTGAGATCCAAATGGAAAGCCCCTGAGCCACGCCTTTCGAAAACTGCATGATTTCTCCTGCTCAGAGGGCCTGGGGGGACATTCTCCGGCAATTCTTTGGAACCTGACAACAGGGATGGAGATGGTGAGAGGATCTTTTTCTTTGCTGTAAGACCTTTGCCATCCTCTGAAGTTGTAGGGATCAGACCAGCTGAGAGCTGGGAGTCGGAGCTGTAGTGATTTGCCCCCGAGTTTCTTTTCTGAACTATACTTTTTAAGGTGGAAGCAAATATTGTCTGGTTAGAGTCTGGGTCCTGGTCAATGGGGATTTCAACACATTGCTGACTTCCTTCTGAAGAAAATGATTGATAATTTATTTCTTCATATGATGTCTTCCTTGAGCTGGCCTGATCAAAGGCTCTTAGCAAATATGCTGTGTCTTTTATGTCAATACTTTGATGCCTAGTAATGAATCGCTTGGAAAGTGCCAGCCCATTGGTTTTGTAGGATAATTCTTCCTCTGGAGTAATATCCTGGAGCTCCTCTTGCAAAGAGGCTACTCTCTTCTGGTGCATTAACAAGGGCGGGGGTTTGACCCAGGGTGGAGCCTGGGGCGGCCTGGGCCCATTCAGGGCCACAGCAGGCTTCCTCCCAGGGGAGCCTGGGTCCCAAGTATCATCACGGCTTCCTGAAGGCTCCAGATCTTTAAAGCCAAAAAGTGGCGTTTCAGTTTCAGAAGAATGTGAAAGTGGCGACGAGGCTGTTTTTATGTCTATTCCTGAAGGAGTGGCACAGGTGGGTGGGGAATGATACCCATCTGTATCGGAAGGAGGCATATTTAAGTATTGTTGGGTGGTGTGCCTGCCAGAGGGCGATTTCGCTGTGGTAATGATAATGACCTCTTTTCCCTTCGCCTTGCAAGCACTAAGTAGAACTTTCAGGGTTTCTCTATCCTCCGAATTGAGAGCATAGACGAGGGCCGAGTAGCTAGAATGGTCTTGCAAGCTGAGGTCGGCCCCACTCTGCAGGAGCAAGGAAACAACTTCAGGACCAGCTTTTTCTAAGCAAGCATGCATCAAGGCAGTTTTCCCAGATTTGTCCTGTATGTTGGGATCCGCATTGTTTTCTAACAGGTATTTAACCATTTTGGCTTTACTGACGCTCTGATGATCAACATGTTTCGTCTTACAGGCTATCATTAGAGGTGTTTCCCCACGGTCATTGCTTTCATTGATGTAGGCACCACCTTCTAGCAAGAGTCTTGTGAGGCGAAGCCGGCTCTGGTGGACTGCTTTGATCAGGGAATTTCCATCACTTGAAATTTCTACACCTTCCTCCATCTTCAGAAGTCAGAAATCAATACCTGTTTATCAAAGAAGATGAAGACCAAGAGATTAGCCAGAATCAACATCCTGATTTACATTCATGCTGTTACTGGCAGTTTCTGAAATATGTATAGAGAAAGAGGACATAGATGAGATGGTTATTAATAAATACAGGGCAAAATAGTGAATTGAAAAATTAAAAAAAAATTGTAGTGGTAACAAGCTTTCGGGAATTATAAACTAAAATTTACTTTCAGAATCGTCACTGAGTATTTATGCTATAACACCAAGCTTGTACTTCCCTAAATGCCACAGTAATTCAACAGTAATCTACTTACTTTACAGTTGTGAAAAATGGTTTTTAAATGATACTAAAATGTAAATTGAAGCAGAAAGCTTCAAGATCCTGTGTCATTTCAACTGAGTCAATTAAAGTACAGCATATTTATGGCAGCGTACCATAAAAATGTCCTAGTTTTAAATGACTGCTTAAACGTGCTCTTCAGTTAAATAATGCAACTATTTCTAGATTTTAAATTTGAGGGGCATTTCAGTACTTCTTTTTTAAAATGGATTTCTTTTTTATTGTTTATTCTACTCCAGTTGTCCCAGTTCCTTTCAATGTTTCTTTCAAAGGATGAAAAATGACTTGGACTCTGAGATGTTGAAACAACTGACACTATGTCTGGAATTCACACTGAGACAGAAACAGTGAGAATGTGACTCACTGTTTCTCTTGAATCCATTATTAAAATCATACGCTGACTATATGACGGGGCTAGCAACACGCTGCTGAGTTTAGTTTTAACAGCAGTACACCAGCTCTGAAAAAGGAGTTTTCTGGGCTGGAAACCTGAGTGAAGACAGGGAGACTTTATAAACAGGTTACTTTTTTATCAGGCAAACTAAAAATATTTGTTTACTTACTTGTTTATTTAGATAATTTAGATTCAAACTCCTTCAACAGACAATTCTATCAGTTGATAAGAATTGTATCTTTATCTAGAGCTGAGGAAATGTGTGTCTTTTAACAGTCTTTAGAACTGGGGAGAAAAACCAAATGGAGTTCATATGATATTTCAATCTATTTCATTAAATTAGGTAGTTTCTTAAATTGAGAAGTATTTTTTATTCTACTAATTTATAGTTTTAAAATTAAGAATATGGCACATGAAATTCTACTGGATAATAGAATCAATAAAAAAATATAAGGGCCTCTTAACAGCAGAAGAGATGAAGGGAGCAGAAAGAAAATGAAGATGAAGGAGAAAGACGTGACACGGAAATCAATTCACTTGTTAAACAGCTACAAACTCCTAATATGCGCTGGGCACTGCACTACAGAAGTGCAAGCCCTAGTCCTGAAGAGCTTACACAGTTGTTTGGAAGAGATCTTGTAGAAGCAGATGGTTATGAGTCAGAGTTGTGGGAACACCCAGGCTGGGATGGCCTGGGGACTCGAGGGGCTCCACAGAGCCCGATTATTTGAGATGCGTCGTGAGGACTGTGTTAAGAGTTTGGCAAGCAGACAAAGAAGTAAAAGAGAAGTAACGAATACTCCTTGTAAAAAAAAGACCTAGAGGCTTAAAGTAGCACAGTTATTTATCATAAATCAGGCTCTATTTACCCTCATATAACCGAACTTTAGGAAAATATTTTAGCAGGTGGTTATAGTTAGGGTAAATATGGCAGGACACACACATGTCTAATTTTGCCCCTTCCTGAAACTCTCTAAAACTAAAAGAATTTTTAAAAAAGACAAACTCACAAGGATAGCAGGAAAAGGAGAGAAGGTGAAGGAGAGGAGACATCTTTTTGGAAGCCAGAAGCAGAAGGGCTAGTGGTGACTGACTCAGCCAACCTGAAAAATTGCGCTCCAAGTCATGGGTGGTAGAGCTGTGAACTAGGCCCCTGCAACACTGCAGAATCCCTGAAAGAGGCAGCGCAGGAAGCTCTAGAACTGGGGTGGGAGGGTGGCGAGCACAGCTACAATAAGAAGAACTAGGTGAAAAGCTGTTGCAAGAGCAGTGAGATCCCTAGGTCCTTGCTACCCCAAGAGTGATCCCATCTTGGACCCGCACCAGCAGCATCACCCGAAGCTTGTTAGACGCTCCGCATCTCTGGCTCCACCCCACATCTGTGGGATCGGAGCTATAGTGTCCTGAGACCATTCAAGTTTGAGAAGTACTGTCTCAGGTTGTTCCTCCACTCCAAGCCACTGGGAGATAAGGAAACTGCCTCTCCCACCTGAGGAGATGTCCGGAGGTTTATTGTCATCAGAAATGGTGAAACAGAGGCTCTGCGGACAGGGAGACACTGACTATGGTGGAGGACAAGAAAACAGGGAAATAAGTCTGCTTTCTCACAACTGAATGAAGGGACTTCTACCCCAACGAGGCTCCAAGAAAACTGGCAACCATACACTTATCCTTCAGGCAAAAACTGCTATACTCTTGTCTCAAGAATCCGACCTGATGAAGAGAAGATGCCTAAGAGCACTGACCATGGGTTCTCCCCAACACGCCACCCAAGTCATCCTACAGTGAAGCTTAAAGGCGGCAAGTCTCCCCGATGGGCTTGAGACTTCTCATTGGCTTTTAACCCAAGCCTTTTAATCCTGAGCAAGTCAACACAAAAAACAAACCAAAAAGCCTCTTACATTAAAAACACGTAACAAATAGAAAGAAAAGGCAACCTGGGGGAAAAAGATATTAGGGAAATGAAAATTGCCAAAGCTCATTATCTTCAAAGGGAGATGTTGCAACCAAGAGACAAGATTCCATGAAAAAAAAAAAGACTACTCAGAGACTATAAAAAGAACTGGCAAAAGGTAAAAAAAACATGATACAAACTACAAGACTAAATAGAAAGGCTGGATGATAACGTTGATAAAATCTCCAGCACAGTTCAGCAAAAGGAACAGAAGGGGGAAAAAACAAGAGAATTCGAGGACTAGACCAGGACATCCAACATCCAACTAACAGAAGTTCCAGCAAGAGGAACTAGTGGGCCTGGGAGAGCAGGAGAGGAAATGGTCCACGAGGTCAGGAAAATTTTCTAGGTCTGAGGGGCAGGAGTCACCAAATGGAACAGGCCCAGTTAGAACGTAGCACACTGACTGGAAACAGACCCCGAGTGTGACACACGGTTACGCACAGCAAGAACAGCAAAAATGGAAAAGGTTCCATAAACTTGAGGGTGGGAGGTGGGGAGTGGTGAAAGACAATGGAGGACTGCTTTTTAAAATCTGAAGGAACAATGATTCCCAGCTTAGAATTCTGTCTCTAGCCAAACCATCAGTCAGGAGTTAGAATCTACTGATGGATGTAATCTACCAAGATGAAATAGTAGAACGAGAAAGAAGAAATGGGATACCAGAGACTAGAGATTATTAGAGAGGAGAGACACTGAAAATCCCAGGAGGCTGGTGAGAGTAGCCGTCAGGGTGACGGATATGCAGACGTCACCTCTGAGAGCACACTGCCACCATCTTGTTAACTGAGGACCACATGCCCACGTGAGCCTGCCCTCAGCTCTGTAATTTACTTGCTGTGTCTCGACCACATCTCTGCTCTCTCTTTGGTGCCTCACTTTCTGGGGCAGCCCAAGGAACTCATCTCAGCCCTGCTCAATGGTTCTGCTTTGACCCGTTCTGAGACCTGGGGATAAGTCATGGTGAGCTTCGGAGGAGAAAGAGGAAGCACCCACTCCCTTTGGATAACCAGCGCTGCACTAAAGCTCTGCCAGCAGCCCTGCAAGGGCGAGCCTCAGGTTTCCCAGGACTTGCTTTTGACCTTGCCCAGAATGGGTTGCAAATCCTCAGGTATGCTGAGGTGAACTAACATCCAGGGACTCTTCACCTTATCTTTTCCTGAGACCTTTCATCATAAATGGGGTGGAGCAAAAGTAGGTTTACAGTTGTTCCAATGGAAAAAGAATACAATCATTAATAAGTAGTAATACAAGAACTGTGTTTTGCGTACACACCGCTGTAGACCTACTTTTGCCCCACCCTGAATTAGCGACCTTGACCTTCCTTTATTCATCCTATTTTGTGCTCGCTACTCAGTTTTTCAAAAATAAACAACGTATTTACCTAAAAATCATACATAATCATACATGGGACGCTAAAGAGAAAAAAAGCAAAGGGAATTATTAACATGAAAATTATGAGAACGTCATCTCTTGGGGGCAGGTGTCGTAGAAAGAACAATACAATTTGGGAGGGAGACACCAGGGGCTTTTAAGGTTCAGGTAATTCTCTGTTTCTCAACTGGGTGGCATGGATGTAGGTGTCTATTTTATTATAATTTTTTAAACAATACATATTTCATATACTCTTGTATGATACTGCTCATCTATTTATTATAAAGGGGAACATGTATACAGAAAAGAGCATAGCGTTTCTGTAGGATATGTTTCATAATTCAATTTTATAAAGGGTCCTATTAGGTCTTCAATTTTACAACTTAGTTCAGCTTTTGTGGTTTTATCAATAGTATTTATGCCTAGGCTTTCAAGGAGCTTCAGCTGCTAAGCTCCTGAAAAGCAGGATTCAAAAGAATATCATTACTCATTTCCACATTAGTGTCATTCCTGATGCTGAGTAAAAGTACCTCATACACACATACATAAATACGAATTTATTCACATACAGGAAAGTGAATGCCGTGATCTTGTGTTGTGTAAAAACTGTTCCAGGGGTTGACATTACCTGCAACTCAGGGACTTAGGGATTTTAGGGTTGGCTGGTGGATCCCAACTCAGAAGACTGTTCTGAAAAGAGCATCTGAAAAGAGCTCCGTGAGACAGTGATTCAGAAGAAAACTTCTTTTAGCATTTTTCATATACAAATGTGTTTAGTAAAGCAACGGGGATTTAGAGAAATAAGCTGGAACATAACATCAAATATAGAAACCACTTAGTAACTGCATTCAACAAGAGGACAGTATCAATAATGCAGAAACGCCTTTGACTAAAAGTAGCATTTTAGAAACATATTCAAATGAGATTAAGTTCTCAAATACCACATTTCAATATTATACTCTCACTTAATTTTTAATATTTGGGCTAATCTTGTTTTAAAATTTTTTTTTTGCTTACATCACATTCTAGTCTATAATTCTTCCCCCCTCCCCCATCTCTTCCTTCCATAAAGTCTTACAAGAAACTTTGGGAAAGACTTTCAAACCTTTACACCTATTCTCATGGAAAGCCTTTCTCCGCCACTCAACCTGACTACTTTCTGTTATAACTTTCCTCGGGTTTGGCATCAGGAGGTTCTGGGTGATGAAGGGGGGCTGGCAATGTGCAGCCTGCTGGGGTCCCTGCCTGAGGGGAGCAGACCATACCAGTCCTGTGGATGGGGGGCTGCTGTGGGCTCCCGGGCCTCAGAGAAGCTGGGCCGTGGCTCCAGGCAACTAGTGACTCTCTGCCCCCACCCCCAAGAACTGGAGGTTAGTCCGGCAAAAGCAACTGCTTGAGGACCACTCTTTGTTCATGATAAAGCCCCGTGGACTGCTCGCTTTTTAAACTGTTTGCATTCAGTATAGCAGTTCTGAATTCTTTGGTCTTTAATTTTTTAATTGAATTTATTGATGTGACATTGGTTAATAAAATTATATAGGGTTCAAGTCCGCACTTCTACAATACATTATCTGTATATTGTACCGTGTGGTCATCACCCAAGTCAAGATTCCTTCTATCACCATTTATCTCCCCTTTTCTCTCCTCTACCTCCCCATACCCACCTTTCCCTCTGGTAATCACCATGCTGTTATCTGTGAGGTTTATTTTTTTGTTTTGTTTTTGCTTAATCCCCCCACTGAAATTCTTTAAACATTAAATTTCTTAGAGAAAAAAGTTATCAGATACTTTACTCTCCACCTGTGTACATGGCTGGTTTCCTAGTGTCTCATTTATAATCAGTACCTTTTTGGAATAGTCCCCTGGACTTATTTTTGCCCTCATCCTCTTTCACTTGGTTCTTTTGCCTCAGCCATTTGCACAGCAAAAACGCTGGCAATGAACTTTGACCTGTTTGCTCTGCCTCAAGGTAAGTCCTACCTGTGATGAGACCACTTCCCTCACCTACGGTATCTTAGTTCGGAAATGTCTTTGCCTCCGGCCTCCTCCTGTGAAACCCTCATGGAGCACCCGGCACTGACACCGTCTTCACAGTCGGTCAGACCCTTTGGTATCATTGAGCTTATAAATGATCCCCAAGTTGAGTTACCACTTCCAAATAGATATCAGTTCAGCTAGAGAAAGTTTGGGGGTCAGACAGATCAGATTTTTATCCCAACTTCCCTACTTATTAGCCGAATGCCCCGATCAAGTCTCTCAGCCTCTGAAGTCTTGGATTCCTCCTCTGTGGCAGGACGATCACGTGACATTTATGCCCTGGTCAGTGGTGATGAAATCAGACAAGTCACAAAGTCTTCCTTCTGCCTTCTTGCTCACTGCACTTGCTTTAAAAAAAATTTTGTCTCAGAATTTAGCCTTCTTTTATTTTATCATGTCCCTAATCCAAAGCCTATTTAACAGATAAAATATTTTAAATGTTTTTTCTGATCTGCAAATGATGTTTTGTAAACATGAAAGGTGCCTACTAAGTGAAATATGGAACAAAGATATCCTTTAGGTACATTTTCCTTATAATTTCCAAGTGCAATAATTTCAACATTATTATAAGGTATCCATTATTAAGCAGCTGAACAAATCGCTTTTTATTTTAAAATTAAAATATCTTTAACATCACTTGCAATTCATCGTGACGTATTTACCATATTCATTTGGTTCCTCTCTCTACTCCCAAGATGCCACTAAACATACCATTTAGTTATTTAAAAAGTGAAAAAGACATATATTCTGAAGAACAAAGAAAACTAGAGGAGAGGTATCAGAGGGGCAATTTCAAACAAGCTCTGGAGACGGAGCGGGGATGGTGGTGTCGCCCACTGCCTTCACGGGGCGGAGGCTGCAACAGAAGTCGCCAGGGAGATGAGCAGGTGCCAGCTGACCCACAGGGCCCATGAAGTTTAGGATGAAGAGGTCCTCGGCGCCACAGCAGATGGCCACGAGGCACAGGGCAGAGAGTGCCAGGATGGCTCAGTCTGTGGACAGAACAACTAGACCCCCAGGTATTTTACCCGACCCCACGTAGCAGATAGCCACTCTTTTAGGCAAGAAAACAAAGATTTATTCTCTGAACAGATCCATCAAAAATGCTCCAGACCTAGTGGCAGCAGGCTGAGAACAGGGGCAGAAAGTGAGAGTCTACAGGCTGAGCAGTGCCCCCAGCCCCTCCAGCTTCCTGCCCTGCTACCAGGATGCTGGAAGCCAGGAAAAAAGTGAAAAGCACTGGATCTTAGAATTATGAGCCCTATTAAAAATATATGTAGATAAATGAAACAACTCAAACCATAACTATATTCGCCCCTCCAGACGCCCACTCTGAATGGAAATAGAAAGTTATCTGAAAATATTACTCAAAATTTCATATGCCGGTTATGTCTTTTCCCTCCCTGGATGTGTTTTCTGTCAGCCAGCTCTCAGTTCCTATGCAGGAAGTCAACACTGTCCAGAGTCACATAAACACCAGTGATTTGTTGCACACATCTCTCCCATTTGCAGTCTAGTTTTTTTCATTTCTTGTTAAGACATCCCCTACAATGTTGGTTCAGTTAATCACATTTCGCTGGTCATGAATCTGTAAAAGTGTCTGGTGTGTGTCCTATGGGTGGATGCAGCCTGTAAGCACTGCTGGCAGTGGAAGGCACTCTGCCCACAGACCAGGCCCCCAGTCTACACAGATGAGGAGGCTGCGGAAGGAAAGGTGGAAGAACTCTCCCAAGTCCCTCCTCTTACTCGCCTGTTCCCCAGGGCTTATTTAGAAGCTCCTGTGTCTTATCTTATGTGTCCTTGCTTCTCGGATGGCCAGCTTCCAACACTGAGGGTTCCACTGTAAGTACCCGATTCGTGTGGTACCTAACTCCATGGTGCGACATGGGCTGAAGCGCTTTAAAAGCCATCTTGGAAATGACAGGCCTGGCCATTCCCACGGCGTTTTCTCCCCATGCCACCTCTGGTTTCCCTTTCATTCTGAGAGAAATGTAACTCTCCTTTGAGCCTCTTCCTCCACCTCCAAAAAGGATCCCTGCTCCCTCCGAATCTCGGCTGTCTGGCCATGGTGGGGGAGGGTATCAAGAGGGTAGAAATTAATGAATGTGTTTCAGGCTCCACATTCAGCCCCTCCTGTGCATTCCACTGCCTGTTTTGTGCTGCCCAGGAAAGGCCAAGGCTTGCTCAGAGGCGGCGGGCCGTGTGCACCAGAGATCGATCGGGGCTTTGTCCTCTTCCCAGGTTACCAACCATTCTGAAGCCACTCCTCTGAACTCGTTACCCCGTCCCTGAAGTGGGGATAAAATCTACTTTACAGCTGACGATTGTGAGGATTTAAAAAAGTCCTAAGAGCTTGCCTCTTAAGGATTCAATAAATGTCAATTTCTAAACACCCATCACTAAGTGAGAATCCTCTGGGCTGGTGGAGTCTGACAATGAGAGGCCCGGGTCCCTATACCAACAGGCTCTCACCTTCTGTGGACATAAACTTCATATGAAGAGTCTGTTAAAAATAAGATTCCAGGCTCTACTTCCAGACATTCAATACAAAGTGCTTCCTATGCACACTTGGAGAAAACCTGTGGCAAACTCTTCAATCCTCAATCAATACTCACTTCTTACTCGCTGTTAACCCCTGACTCAGGATTGCCCCAGGCTGTCTCTGTCATCATCTCCTGGTGGTTGGATGCTCCGCGGCAGGAGTGTAGGGCAGAGATGGCTGCCACAGCTAGAGAGGCGTACAGGTAGCCGGCAGGCCCAGAGAAGAGTTAGACGGACCAGGGGCTGGAGGTGTGCTGCCTTGCCCTTTCCAGGCAGAGATGAAAAAAGCCAGAGCCCCAGGATGCAGAGGCCAGCTGTACTCGGAACGAGGCAAGTCTGCCTGCCACCAGCAAAATAGGTGTCCTCCCCAGGCAAGGCAACCGGCAGTGCCAGAACAAAAATGCATCGGAGACTGTCCCAGGAAATGTAGGGACTTGCCAGGAAAAGTGCTCTTCCCCTGGCACCGGCTCGTTAAGAAATACTTAGAAATTGCTCAAGGGAGGGAATAACGGATAAGGTTTGCCATATTCCCACACATACCCGAAATGGGCTGGTGTCTTCTAGTAACTTCGCTGTCCCTCAAGCCTGTAGGGAAGCCACATCTCCGCCTCCTTCATAGACCCCCATCCCAAAACATACACATACACGCAGAACTATACCTCCAACTCTCGGGGACCCAAGGTGATTCTCCAAGCGGCTGAGGGTTTCGCAGCGTCTCCACAGTCCCCGCCGGCCCCGGGAACCAAGCTCGTTTCCTCCGTTTTTCCGGAGCGCGGAGGGAGCCAGCCCGAGGTGCTGTAGGAGAAGGGCAAAGGAAGGTGACTGGGGTGACAGCGCCGGGGCACGGATGGGGGCGGGGTGCGCGTTTCGTCGCCTCGTCTCTGAGCTAAGCAGGCAGGCTGAGGTGATCGCCATCCACAAAAAGGGGTTCAGCCCAGAGCATCTGCGGTTTGGTCCCCACGGCGCCCTCCGGGAGGAAGCGGCCCTCCCTTAGGAAACGGCACGCTCTAGGGGAGCAGCCATTGCCCCCATCCTGTGGCGGGCGCACCTATGGACCCCGGCTGTCTGATAAGGAGTTCCAGGGTTTTGGTACCAAAGCTGTGCGCTCCAGAGAGGCGCCGAGTCCCACCTACCCGCCCCTGTGGGGCTCCCAGTTCGAGTCAGAGGCTGCAAACGGCTCCGCAGCCCCCCAGCCGGCCCTCCGCACTCAGCCCGCACCTCTCACCGCACGGCCGCCCGAGGCACCTGCGGAGACGCGCCTAAGTCAGACCCTCCAACACGCGCGCTCCTGCAGATGAGCGCGCGCCGCTCCTACTGTGGCGGCGACCCTCGCCCGCAAGGCCCCTGTCCGCTTCCTTCCAGACTTCCCGCGGCCGCGGGCGGCCTCAACCATTCCGCAGCGCGGCGAGGTGGAGGAGGTGAAACCCGCATCTTGGCGGAGTCCAAACCGGAGCCGCCGCAAAGCCCAGGATGGCGGGGCTGAGTCTCTGGACAGGCCCCTGGAGCTCGCGGGTCCTCGATTGGCGCCTGGTCTCACTCGCCGCTCGAGGCACTGCAGTGTCAGGGTGCGCGGGTGGTGCGGGCTCCCAGGGCCTGAACGCACCGGGCGCGGTGCAGAGGCCGCGGGGACCAGGTGCTGCCCCCTCGTTGCCCCCTTCCCGGCGGCCGGTACAGTAAAGCAAAGTTTCCCCAAGTGCAGCCTGCAGAGACAGCGCCGCACACTGACCTGGGACGCGCTGTCGAGACTGTGGCGGCGCCTTCCACCTCCCAAGCACCGCTAGGACCCTCCGCGCCAGTGGCCCCAAGGCTCCGTCCCGGCTGGACTGTCGTCTTCGGAGGCTCTTCTGTGGCGCGAGTCGCTGATTCTGGTAGGTGCCACCGAGTCCCCGCCCCCATTCGTCTGAGAGGCTGGCGGCGGGCTCGGAGCCGCGAAGCGTCGGAACGGGGGCCTGGAGGCGCGCACCTCGCCAGACACCTCGCCGGCGGCGCAGCGCTTCCATAGGGAGCCACGCTCCCGGCTGCGCCGCAGGTGGGGGCCGCGGGGCCAAAACTAGCTTGGGCCACTGGGGCCGAAGTCTGGCCTCCCAAGGTCGACCTCTGTCCCCAGAAGTACCCCTCTCCTCACCCAAGCCAGTCCCCGCGCTTTGGCCTATAGAACTTTGTCCAAAGCGGAGACCGCAGGGTCTTCACCACTGCAAGGAGATGGCCACCCCTACACCCTGGCCCCTGATTCCCGGTGTTCTTCTGTGCGTCCCTCCTCCCGGTTCATATCCACCGGGCTGATCCCTGCGTCTGTCGCCACCGCTCCCTCTTACCACTTCTTGTACCCCTTTAGGTAAAGCCAAAAGCCTCGCTTCAGGTTGGGGTGTTGGTGAGAGCAAACGTTCTTGTTTTTATGAGTTTGTTATAACTTCCTTAAAGCATTAATGTAACACTTTAACAAAATTTCACAAAGTACATTCTATGTTAAACTTCACTGAGGGACAAAAAAGAGAAGAAATCAAATAGAAGCAACACTTTTAAAATTCCATGTATCAGGGATAGGCTGGTGGGGAAAAGACCATGACCAATTTTCGTTGTCCAGAAAATGTCAGTCAAAATTAGCTTGTAGTTTGGAGTTCTCAAAAGGGGAAAGCAGCCTTGTCTCTGGGTAGGCTTCCTTTATTTAGGAAAACAACTCTCTGAAATAGGCCCTTGGGTGAGTATATGTAAAGTAAGTTCACAGGACATTTTAACCCCGAGTGGAACTCTGGAGAACTAGAATCCTGGATGTGTGTCCTGTGCGCACGCACACTTACTGGGGAGATTGGAGGTTCCTGAGGAGGGACTGGGCAAATCTGCCTGAAGGTACAGGTGTCCTTCCCCCAGTAAAACAAACAAAAAGAATGCTATTAATGTACAGTACACATTAAATGATGCACATTTCACAAGATCAATGATTTCGCACAACCGAGACATCATTAAGATCAAGAGACAGAATAGTACCAGCTTCCCAGAAGACTCCCTCATATCCCTCCTTTCGGGGTAGGGGGCAGAGGAGTGGCTTCGACCAGCATGGATTACTTTCACCTGCATCTGCACTGCGTAGCAGTTGGATCATACAGAATTCCTCTGTTGCCTGGCTTTCGCTAGGCATGTTTAAGAGCTGCATACTGTCTGTGATCATATTCGGTTCACTCTTGTTGCTGCATAGTATTCCACTGTGTGAATGTTCCTCAATTTTATTACTGATAGACATTTACTAATCCTCAGGTTTGGGACATTACAAATAATGTTGTTAGGGGCATTATAGTAGATGCCGTTGATGAACATATGTACACACTTCAGTTGGGTACATACACCAAGGAGTTGACTTGTGAGTCGTGAAATAGGTATATGTTCAGCTGCTGTAGATACTGCCACTTTTTCAAAGTAGATGATCTAATTGTCATTCCTATTTTATTAGTGTTCTATTGCTGATTGTAACAAATTACCACAAACTCTGTGGCTTAAAACAGTGTAAGTTTATGCTCATAGTTCTGAAGGTCAGATGTCTATGTTGGGTTTTACATGACTAAAATGTAAGTGTTGACAAGGCCAAGTATCTTCTGGAGTCTCTTGGGGCTCATCCGTTTCCTGGCCTTTTCTCCTTCCCAGAGGCTGCCTGCATTTGTTGGCTCCTGGCCTCTTACTCTATCTTCAAATCTCAGTTTCTCTCTCAACTGTGCTTCTGTTGTCTCGTGTCTTTTTCTCCCTCTGACCCTCCTGGGTCACTCTTCCAGTACCCTTTGCGATTATACGGGGTCCCTCAGATAATCCAGAATAATCTCCCATCTCAAGATTCTTAGTTTAATCACAGCTGCAAAGTTTCTTTTACTACGTAAGATACCGTACTCCTAGATACCTGGGATTAGGTCATAACCTCTTTGCAGGGTGGGGGAGGATGCCTGTTTAGCCACCTATACCTGTTAGCAGGGTGTTGGGACACCCTGGGTGGCTGGAGACAGGCCAGACTGAAAAAAATAAAAAAAAAAAAAGACCATGCAGTTCTGAGATACAATTCACCTGGAGGATGGGGGCTGGTAGGCAGGAAGGGGGAGACTGGTGCCTCTGCTAATCACCTCTGGCCCCCACCATCCTGGCTCCACAACGCATCTGGGGCCAGGGGCTTTCATTTAGAGGACAAAGTGGGGAAGGGGCCTGGGGGTCGAGTTGCAGGGTTGGGGGTGGCACTCTGCTGCAGGTATATGGTCACACCACAGCACTCTCTCCTTCTTGCCTTGACTATCCATGGCCTTGATCTTCTCATCAATACGGGAAAATATTCAGTTTCAGCTCTTGAGATGCAAATACATTTTCAAGGCCCTTTTCATTTTAAAAAAAGATTTAAATACAGTGACTATTATCTTTTGGAGGAGAGGTTCTCATTAGGACTGGAAAAGCTGTAGGAAAACCTTAAACACTAAGCTTCTTGTCGCACTGAGCAAAACAGGTGATTTGCTTCTCATATTCGTAGTTTTTCTTGTCTGTTTCCTTTCTACTCATTCTCATGTCTCCTCCTTTCTCCATGTCGTCCTGGTGGGGGGAAGCCGCCGGCTGAGCCTGCCCCCAACATTTTCCAAACCTTCACTTCTTAGTGGGAATGGGTTGCTCTCTCCAAACTCCCAGCAGTTTTCTGATTCATCTTTGAGAGAAGCTTGCTTTCTTGTTCTGGGAAGAAAAAAAATACTTCTTATATGCTAGAAAGATTGGAAGTGAGGACAAACACCTCCTTATAAGAGCACATGCTTAAAATCCATGAGTTTTGAAATCCATGGGTGTGCCCAGTCTTTCCCACACCCCCGCTGTCCACAGATAGGTACCCTATGTTACACCCTTCCTGATGGGAGGAAAGAAACGTTGCCATAAAAAGAAGAGCTTCAAAATAGCCTTTGAACATTACTGGATAACAACGGAATATGTTTTATTCCCAACGCTTGGTCCTTAGGCTCAGCCATCTGTTTCCTGAGGTGGGAGCTGAGCCTCTGTTCTGTATTTGAGCAGGTGAACATGTCTTGTGGCCTTTTGGGTTTGAAGACTGCGTCCCTCCGAGTCGAGAGGCCTGTTTTGTTAGCCCCTCTGCATACTCGCTTCTGGTACGTTGTGAAAAGGTCGAGGTCTTCCAAAATTCAGAAAATGTCTGTGATTCTTTTTCAGGACTTTTTAAAATTTTTATTTTTATTATTTTTATTTGGGTGAATGGCTTAGCAAATATAACTCCAGGGGCCAGCAATGAAATGGGGCTACCCAGTTTCAGGAGTGCTTCCTGAGAACCCAAGTGGGTAGATTCAAAATCCTCTGGAATCCAGAAATCAAAGACCACGAGGATGTAGATAGCTGTGCCTTTTGACAAGGAAGGCTGACTTCACTGAGAGTAGAGTTGGTGGTGGGGCCTGATGCAGAGAGAGTGAACGTTAGGTTCTGAGAAGAGGACCCGGGGCCTCATGAAAGAGGCCAGCAGGGCTACCCCTGAAGAGGGATGACTGACATGTGAACTCTGGGGAAGTCAGGACCAGGATCTCGATTTAAATATCAGTGAAGGTGGCTTTGGGCCCAACTCTAGTGTGTTAACCAAATGGGAATATATATGTATTTCCACCCCCAGCACATACTAAAAAGTCTAGGGTGGGTGCAGCTGGGCTCTTCTGTCTTCCTGTTCAGACGTCTTCAGTTTGCATCTCATGATCTCGGAGTGCGTCAAAGGGCAAACAATATATGCCAGCAGTATCTTTCCCCCTTTTTTTTCCGGTAAAACAATAGTTTTCCTTGGTACCTGACCCACTGATTTCCACTTATATTCACTGGCCTGAACAGGGTCACAGGGCTACCTCTACCTGTACGGGAAAGAAGGATGTTTTTACTGAGTTCACTGAACTTAAAATATAATCAGAGTTCTGCAGGTAAAAAGGGGAACTTAGCATAGGTTTTGTGCTGTGATCCTGGACAGACTGGGCCCTGGACCACCATTGCCTTCCTCAGAGGGTTATTATGAAGATTAAGTGAGTTAATTTATATGAAGCACACGGAACACAGCACTATAAAAGTGTTGTTAAATACATTAATAAAGGGGAGCGTAGTCACTGGGCGGGCAGTTAGCAGGTCCTATCAATAAGCGTGGCTATTCTGTGTAGTAATCCTATTCTCTTCTGCAGTAACAGTCTGTTGAACATTACATCCTGATAGTAGCTGGACTCAGGGCATTACTGGAAAGGCTGCTGCTCTCGCTTGGCAAGAGCACTTGACTGCTACCTGGAAAAGCATTATAAGGTGATCTGTAGAGAGCGAGCCAGGGGCTAAGCTCCTTAATGTGATGAGGCACAACCGCAAGAGTGGTAGCAGAGCTGTAGCTGGGTTATAGCAACGTTTCCTGGCTTCCCTTGCAGCTAATTCGACTTCGTCACAATGCTTTTGCCAACAGAGAGTGAGCAGAAGTGAAGTTTGCATAAAGGAAACCCCCTGGCCTTTTTCCTTTTGCTCCTTTCCCATTCCATGGCAGGAATGAGAATGGCTGGAGCTCCTTTGTGAAGATGGTACGGCTCCCAGGAAGCCTGGATCCCTGAAAGACTGCATGGTGCAGAGGGAGCCATGGACATGGAACTCTACTGTGGGCTGTTCTGTGAGAAAGAAAGACATTTTTACTTTGTTTGAGCCATTGCATCATGGGCCATAGTCATTCCAGCCTTTTACCTCAACTAATATAATTACTTTCAAAATTTAAAATAGTATCTTTTAAAATTAAAACACATTTGCTTATAGTATGCATAAATATTTCTGGAAGGATATTTAGGAATTTA